TAATAAAAATAATAATAATAATAAAAATAATAATAATAATAATAATAATAATAACAAAAATAAATTATACGTTTAGATACCGTATATGATTGGAATTTTTTTATATGAGAACTGAGTGTAGATGTTGCAAGAGTTGGAAGATTTGCAGCTGCTGGTGGCGGTGTTTCAAATTCATTTGGATTTGGTGGATACTGAAATATATAAATAGATTTATTATAACAATATTATATAATAATATTTATATATTATTATTTTCTAATTACTTTTGATGAAACATTAGTTGTTGATTCTGTAGTAGTAGTAGTAGTAGCAGGTAGAATAAATGGTACATTTGTTGTACTGCCATTAGTTTCCTCTCCTACATTTCCATCATTATGATTCCAAGATGCAACCTTGAAACTTTTAAGTTTTTGTAGCCAATTCTAAGAAATCATAACGTATATAAACAAATAAAAGTATTAATAATCAATAATAATCGCAACACTCATTGAAAAGTAATAATATTGCTCACGTGTTCTAGTTCATGTAAAACTGTTTCATCAATTCCACTGTCTTTAAAGTCTTTTTTCACATTTTCAATTACATCCTTCATAACTGAATTATAAATGGTTGGCTAATTATTAAATAATAAAGCAATAAAATATGAATAATAATGTTTTTAAAATTCTATTTTTATTTTTACAAAAAAAATTTTTTACAAATTATCGATAAATAACAAAATAATAATTATTAGATTTAGATTTTATGAAATATATATATATATATCTTTCTACTATCAATCATTTTTTTAAAAGAAATAAAGAAACATACCACAATTATATTAGACATTTTTTTTATTTTTCGTTTTAAATGCTTGAATATTATTAAAAATATTTTTATATTTCCAAGTTTCTATTTATACTCTTTGATAAAGAACAAAAATGGGAACATGCCTGTCGATTTGTTCATTTTGTCGATCTTTTTATTAATAAAGATCTGATAATAATTTTTTTTTTAAAAAGACCAAAAAGGAAACCATCATGCCATTTTAGTAAGATATTTGGGGTGTGATAGAGTTTACTTTTTATACATACTTATACAACTGCAGTTAGCCATAACTCAATTTTCATATGCTTGCTTACTTGAAGCACAAAAAAAACATGGCTTATGCACAATTCAAATTGCAAGACATTTTATTTGGGATAATGAAACAATTCTTATCACCTGTTGCTATGATAATTATAACTCTTTTGTTCAATCCCATCTCTATCAATGTTCAAAGAAAATGATATGCTGTATTTAAGGTTTATTAACTCAATGGAATAAAGTTATAAAGAGGATTGTTGAGTGTATACTATATTCAAAAAGTAAAGAGGCTGTAAATTGAAAGGTATCTGAACTCAAAATATGGAAAGCAGAAAAGAAAATCCATCTAAATATAACATATAAAATTTGTCACACCCAAAAGTTATTAAGATTTAACATCTGGAACTCAAAAATAGGTGCTGAATTGGTTGTTATCAGTTGCAAGTAAAGTATTAGTCTTGGTATTAAAGTCTTTCTTTATGCATCAGCCAATCACAGAGAAAGCCCACTATAAAAACTGAGATTTTGTAAATATGTATGGTGCATAGTGTTGGTTTCCAAAACTAGAGAGTTTCGCAACTGTGCGAAAGTTAAAAGGTTTCGCCATAAGTCGAAACTAGTTTTGATTTTTGATTATTGATTTTTGATTTAGTTTTGACATATAACTTTTAATTTTAGTTTTGACTTTCGTCTCTTCAAAATAGTTTTGGCGACCAGCACTAATGGTGCAGTCAAATTTCAAAGATCAATAGGTAATTACACTACATATTTTCCAAATGCTTGATATGCTGATTTAATAATTATTCTAGAGTATATGTACATGTTATAGTTGTTTGCCAATATTGTTTATGGAAAAAAGTAATTATGGCAGCTTTCCATGTTAGACTAAAGAGTTCAAATAATTTCGTATATAAATTCGGCAATGTTAAAATTAATTATGCTACTACTACTAATATAAACAACTTTTTCGACATCTTAGATTCGACTAACATCCATGACAAAATGAAAGTCGTATGGCGCAAAGCTCAAAGTGCAATTTTTCAACTAACCAAAAAACAATTTCTGGGAAATATTCTTTAAAGTAAATGTTTTCTGTGAATGTAATTTTATTTTCTTGTAAATGCTAATGCAACCAACCGCACAATAATTCGCCTTGAACTTTTTTTGATTGGCTGAGAAACCGCGTCTTACATCATGAATTGCGTCTTGCGTCATGAATCGCGTCGCGTCAGTTGCATATATATTAATATGGTAGTGACGCAATGTCAAATTCTTTGATTTTTAATTGCGTTATGACTCAATTCAATAATTTGGCCACATAGAGATGCTGTGAAAATGGGATAAAATTATTATCAAAGTAATTTTTCTAAATATATATAGAAATCAAAATTTCTAAATTGAGAATCAGAAGATCTTACGGTGCAATTGGTCAACTTCAAAATACTAAAACAAAAAAAAATGATCTCACTTTAAAAAATTTAATCGATAAGTTTAATTGTTCATGACTCAAGCTTCAAAAATTATCGGCTGGTTTTTTCTTAAACTGAAAATTGGCTGAGCTTAAGCTTTAGCATTTTGAAAATCCCGAATTTTGTTATACACTTAAGGAATTAAGACTAAGTAAATTTCGTGTAACAACTTTTTTTTTCATATAATATTTTCTACAACATACATTTGATTTATTTGATTTATTTATTTCCTTTTTTTATTAATAAATAATAGTTATTTACAATAAAAAATGTTTAACGAACATATTACGTTAAAAAAAATCATTACCAAAATATTGTAACACGAAAATTATTGTTGTATTTCTGAGCATATTAACAATTTTGTCAAGATGCTCTATTCCTTTTTTATAACATGTGAACATGAGATCATAACCATCTCTTGTCAATTGGGCGGTGTTTTTGGAACAAAATGGAATTCCCAGGTGAAACATCTTTGAAAATTTTTAGAAGTTCATCAGCTAATTTCCACATAGCTTGTTTATGTTCATTCACAGTTTTTGTGTTTCTACTTACAACGCTCTCATCAACAAATTCATCATGTAACATTAACATATGTTCTCTTTCAGACTGGACAGTTTTGATAAGCTCTTTCAAATTATCAGAACTTTTTACTTGCCCTGGGAGGTTTTGCTTGACAAATTTGACACCAAATATCTCAAGAGCCTCACTATAAGCTAGATAGTGATTCTACTTGGTGAGGTTAATTGAACCAGCAATTTGCAGTCGTTGTTGGAGTTCTGGATTTCTGCTAACATGAATTAAAAATCTACATACAGATTCAGCACATTGGCTTTTGCCAGTAAATTGGAAAAATTGGAGCAAATCTTTCTAGGCTTTTTAATTGTAAATTCATGTTTCCCATCCTTATTCCCGTTTATGTAACTTTAATAATCCAGACCATTCATAATACATTAACCGCACTTTAATATATCTATAGTGCTAACATCATTTTGTTTTTTATATAGATTGACTGCAATTCCAACTGCTGCCCAAATTAATTCAAGAACTCGAAATGTTGTTCTGTAATCTCATCAGGAAATTAATTTAGTGTAAACTTGCATAAATCTTACAATGCCGATGTAATATTGTGTAAATCTTACAGTGCCGACGTAAGTTTTACACTTTT